GGCAGTTTTTCTTATCCTTTGAGCACGGGATACTAGTCCATGACAGATAACCCCCTCTTCCCTGCCTCTACATTGCGACAGGTTTCCCCAACAAAAGGCAAAAAGTATGAGAGAGAGTTTTGCTTATCCGCTAACGGGATACTGGTCCATGAGGAGATTCCCCGCGCATTTCACCTCTACGTTGCGACCGGCTCGTATATGTCATAAGGTGCGTTTTTACATTAGAGATTTCCAACAGCAGGTTAAAAAATAAACCAAGCATACTCACTCTCGTAAGTAGAGTTTAGTAGGTTGCGAATGACATTTCGTCCTGTTCCATTCTTACCCCTTGCCAAAGTTTTATTCAATGCTTTGGCATATTGATAAACAGCGTCATACAAATAATAGGCGTAAAATGACAGCGGTGCTTCTATCTGTAGACACAAAATGTTACAAGAAGCAGTGAATGCAATAGAACTTCTTGGAGCGGGGAGTTTGCCAAATGACCGCCCAACATAAGCCACCAAATTATTGATTGGCGCCACATTGTGTCTTTTTCCCACTCGCCATGAAGACCAGAACAGTCGCAGTTTGGAGGGTTGAGCTGCCATGCACAAAAATATCCGGCTAAATGAAATCAATGATAAAAACACTCCCTCCACATCCTAACGCGCAGAAGTATATGATTAAGTGTGTTAAGTCTGTACACGAAGTAAGCGACCCATCTACTAGGATGTATCCCACTTTCTGTACCAGGAGACCCAAAAGACCAGTGCAACTACAACCAAACATATTCTTTGACCCATAAAATTATGCTAAATACAATTCTCTCCCACCATGTCCCCTACCCCCACGCCCCCTAGCTCATTGACTATAAAACTTACATTAAACCCTGCCTTCTCGAGGCTCGCTGTTAAGTTTGTCTTGAAACTGTCATATTTTTCTTTTACTTTCTTTTCAAACGCTTCATACGACTTCTTCTCATCTGGTAATTTACTCTGAACCTCCACTAATACCACCGACTCCAGGGCTTGATAATAATCACATGTTTTGTCTGGATCCAAATCCAAAAGCAGATGTATTTGTCCTGGCTTGTCCATGTTACGCTTGAACCGTTCAAGGTCAAGTTGTAGCATGACGAATGCATAGTCGCCTTGTGTCATACCCTGATTATACGCGTACTCAAGCGTCTGACGGGCCACTGAATATTCACTCAAGTAAAGTACAACTGCAAGAGAAAGAAAATCAATAGGAACCGAGAAAAACTCAGAACATCAGCCCAGTGGATCATGCTTCTCTAACATTTCGCCTGGCCTCCCCTGACAGTTCCTCGATACCATTTTATAGTCGGGGGGGGGGGGGGGGGAGAGCAAAGAAAATTAATTACAAAATAATTACCAGCCTTTTTGGAGATCAGGTAAATTTTATCGTAATAAAACCAAAATTCTTCCACCCAGCCCCACCCCCTCTAGTCTGCCATACAATTCTTATGATATTAGTTCGGAGAACTTGGTATTCGATCAACTAATAATCCCCTAAATGATATTTTTCTTTATTCTCATCACTTGTGTACTTTATATTGTAAGGATATTGTGAAGAGAAATTTTGTTGAAAGGGTTAAAGCGAAAGATACTGTATACATACCTCTGCATTTGTCCTTCAGTTCTTTGAACATATTTCCCATGTAATCGCTTACATTCGTCACCGATGTGGGCGGATCACAAAAACTTGAACGGTTGTTCTTCACATGATTGTAGCATTGATCAGCAAGAAGCTCTCTATCCATAAGCACTTTGATATTGTTAGAATTAAACTCGCGCTCCACGACTTCTTTCATCCTGATATAACTGGTAATGTTTTCATACAATATGGCCACTTCTGACCAGTTGAACTTTTGGAACATTTTAATGAGGCCTCTCGATAGTTTATGCACCTCCACCTGGATAAACGTCTCTGCAAATGTTGCGTAATCTTCCTTTTTAGTCAGCGGATCTCTGCACATCTGCCCGGGAGCAAGGTTACATAGTTAACTTAACCCTCCACTCCCAAAATGCGAAAGCTAAGTTTTCAAAATTTCTTGACTTGTCATTTTTTATGTAACAAAATTTCCCTTCAGTTTTCCCTTAATGATGTAAGTTCATCGATTGTCATTACATTTCTGCTTGACAGTATATTAAGACTGAAAGAAGAATTTTCACATTGATTATCTCAATTTTAAAAGCTTGCTGTTTGTAACCTATAATATTCTCCCCGATCTCAACATTTTGCCAATTTTTAAGGACCCTACAAAAAGCTCAGAGTGTAAAGTGGCACGTTTCTCGAAAGTCCCAGTAACTTTGCGGACCCGAAGCCAAATTTTAAAGTCAAAATTTACAGCAAAAGAGCAGCTGGTTCTGTCACCCTAACAAGTACAATTTGTTCCTTTAGCCGATGGTTAATTTGTAGAATTTCTAAACTTTAGAAACCGCTATCTTGAATAAAAACAGAGTAGCTTTACGGGCCCGTTAAGTTACCGGGCCCTTCGAACAACGAGCCCCAAGTCACTTAACAAGACTCACGTAAGATATCATTGCGACGTCCTGTACGCTGGCATATCTCGCTTCATATTGGCAAGTACATCCAGGACCTATAATGGCGGACACCTTCTTCTCGTGAATCTGATTAGCCATTGCATGCAGAGACGTATCTTCGTTGCACTTGGTATCAGTCCAGATATAAGACAGATGGTGGCCGGAGAGAAGATCAGATGAGTTATTGATGTCATCCACGGCGGTTACAATGGCGGGAGCGAACAGTTTTCCCACGGCAGGAGCATGTGATGCATCATAGGGTACAAGCAAACCCAGGGTAAAATTATCTCCACATACCGGAGATGTGACGGCAAGAGTGAAAAGAAACAGGTGAAAACATCGAAATAATATCTTCATGGTAATCTGCGGCCTGTTTCTTCGTTGAACCTTTGCTCCAGACGATAATATCAGATCAGTTCCTGACGTTCAGTTAAAGTTTCTTTCACGCATGTGTGAGGATATCTTGATGGGAAAGCAGACAGTAGCACACCAGTTACACAATTATACAATCCAAAACATAAGTTATAATTTTACATACACAAAAAAAACAAAAACTCCTACGTCGGTATCATTGGTAGCATTGTCGACTTCGAAAAATTCATGAGCTAAACGAAATTAAATTTGTGTTTATATGCAAAGGATACATTTCTTTGTCAAACACGAAACCGCAAAATAGCAACAAAATAAACATACGTAAGCCTTACAAGTATTACTTTGGGCGAACTAAGTCATCATTAATCAACGGGGTCAGGCAAGAACAGTCAACAGTGGATGTTATACGATTATTTTTCAAGGGCATGTTCCATTTGCGAAACGAAACGAAACGACTAGAAACACAACGAGAAGGTAGGAATGTCACGCTATTCTTTCTACAAACACAGAAAGTGACATTTGAATGATAACAAGGCTGTTTCTTAATAAGTCTGATAACGACGGATCATTTTCATTTTTTTCGCAAGCAAAACAAAATATATATTTCACCTTTCTCTATCAACGCAATCGTTCTTAGTCGCAAAAATACTAAAAATATAAAGGATCCTTGTTTTCCCGAAGATCTAGGCGATGTCGTATCCCATTAACCGTGTAAAAAGTCATTTCAAAAGCTGGCAACAGAAGCATAAGCTATGTGTAGCACGCTGTAAGTGTCAGTCACTAAGGACCTGTCATCAGCCTAGTGATGGTCATTTTAATGACTTGCTAATAAAATGAGGTACTTGAGAAACAGGAGCAGCTGGGAAAACAAACGTGCGCAAAGAAATGGTGACAAAAACATATTACTTCTCCAGCGTTTCGTACTCGATGTAAGATGTTTTCCGGCTTTTTCTACCAAGTGCAATCGACAAGATTATTAGGATTAGCTCTTTCGGGAAGAGCGAATAAGTCCAACGGCTATGGTTCGTACACAGAACTTCACATGACCCGCATCGCATGACTTACACGTTACTTTTGCAAGACTGTACATTTAAACCGGCGTCTGAATCTGTCTGAAGAGTATGGCAGATGCTCGAGCCAATTTTTTTTTCTCTTTTCTCTTATCAGAATCGCCTCGGCACGCTTTAGATCTCGTCGAGTTCCGCTATGCTCTGCAGACGGGCGTCTGAATCAAGGCTTTGTCAAACGTAATTCGAGTTGACCGGCCCTCGCATTCAATATCTCCCATGAAGAGTACGCTGGGTGTACTAAATCTTCCACTCACGAGAAATTGAAAGAAAAATAAGAACAATTTGAAATTTTCAGGAGGGGAACTGAACTTTCCATACCTCTTCCGCCCCCCGCATTTGTCACCTCTTCCTTTTCCACTCCGCAAGATCAAAAAATTCCCAAAGCAGTGACTTTTTCAGTCCCGAAAATTTAGATAAGTTTACCTACGTTCAAGAAAAATAAAATTAGAGTCTGTCTCATTTCTCCACACAAGATTAATCCTCAGGATCAGAAAAAACAGGATTAAATTTAGAGTTTTTATTTTGATGACTTAGAGTTGTGTTGGAATTTTTCTCACACCAAGCGTAGGCGATTTCCGCCCACTATTCCGGTAAAATATTCACTGTCGAGTAATCACGTTTTGGTTTTCTTGAAACTTTCGCGCGATTATTATTGTCGCTGATCTGTGAAATCCGTTGATCAGAAGTACTGCAAAGTACAAAGGCAGCCCGGCCCCGCCGGTGTATATTCACTATTTTGACAAAAACGAAAGCAAAATTAAATATTAAATTTAGCAAAAGCTTCACCAGATCTTTCTATAATAAGTCTTTTTTTTTTCAAGTTTTCAAGTAAGCAGCTGCTGCTGAGAGGAGACGAGTTGAATATAAAGTTTTGCTGTCGATCTAAATGTACATCATCCTTGTTGTAATATCTTGAGTCGATATATAATGAAATAAGTAGTGGCAAATCCTTCCTGAATGACACCAGAACCCTTATGGACACATCTAACACTTAGCTGAACCATTCACAGCTAAATGTAAATAAATTTATTTATTGACTTGCGTTCTCGACAAAGCTGAGGATATGGTGGCTTATCAGAAATGCCCAAAAGAGTTTTTACAGCGTTAAGTGTTACCATTTAAATAATTTTTTTTATGTAGAAAGCGTCTGAATATATTGCGACATAATTCACCATTTGACCCTGAAAATACAATGTTTTTATGATAACATTTAGTCGAGGTAAAAGTTAAGGGTTTCGATTCCGTATAGGTTTCATCAATAACCGTCCGTATGCTGAATTGTTTCAACTTCTTAAAAATTCACTGAAATGAAATACGTGATGGTTTATACACTTTCGAAAGTTCACCTTCTCCGTAAACCGATTCTTCATAGGTACAGATAATCAAAACACTTATTTAGACAGCGGAAGTTGTAAATATGTTCTCCGTCACTTTTTGTGTCGAGAATATAAATGATAATATTTAACTTTCGCATTTAATTTCTACTCAACCAAAAAGTCATTTTCACGGTCAAGTTCACAACAAACTTTGTCTGTTTGTCATGAAATCGTCCCGTTTTATTTCTCCACTGAGAAAAAACAACATGTAATAACTTTGTGCCTTCAAATTTTTTCCTTTTATGTTACTGATTTTAAAAACTTCGAAAAAATAGCGTATTTATAAATATGACAAAAAAATTTAATCAAGTTACAGGAAGCGGCCAGCTTCAATAGCGTCCTTTCAGACGAATTGTAAGTGATGAATTCCAGCTCATTGAAACACGTTGGCAAAGAGGAAAAAATAAAATACTTGTGAATACATATTTAACTACTTCAAATTCGTTGTAAAATGCTATGAAACCGATCTAAATTTGTCAGGATTGATACAAATATGTTCGAGTGACCGTCGGCGTCGCAAGGATCATAAATTACTTATGTTATTTTCTACGTTTTCGATGTCAAGGTGCGTATTTCAGTTTCGAGCGGCGGTCAGGAGATTGTATAAAGATAAACGCGAACAAATTTACGCTTAAGCTGATGTCACTAATTTCTGTGAAATCCGATAGGAAAAGTTGAAATAATTTGCAGAAGAAGCCAGTTTGTAACATCGATCAGTCAGATTAAACTGTGCATGAAAGTTAATATGCACGTATGTGAAACTATAAATAAGACTCACAATGACGGATGTTTTTAGTTGCGAGAACAACCCGCATGGACATCGCTCTGGAGATTAGTCTTCTGTCCTTAGGCTATTATCAATCGAAATCTTATCGTATAGGTTAGCTGGAACGACCGCGTTGATTAAAGAAACCACTAGCAGGATAAATCTTCGATGCGACTTAGCACATTTTAACTTCTCTTGAATCACATCTCGTTGCTCGCTTACAAAAACCTGTTTTCAAAGGGAGGTAATAACATTTTATAAAAATATAGCTGATTTGTCGCCAAGAAAGCGAAATAAATAAAAACAACGCTCAAGAAAACAAAACAAAGTTATTCCGTTCTGCAAATTGGCCAATATTGACCGCTAGCGGCGAATACTATAAAGAATGTTGCGTTAGGATACAAGAAACGCAAAATTTCATTCACAGATAAACATGTCTTAAACTTACCTTCATTCTGGAAGCCTTCCATTTGTTTGAGATGAAACGCTTCCCTGTTAAAGCAACTTTCAAGGGGATAATAGCAAATTAGGGGTGCACATGTTTAACAATCGATTTGCGTTTGCCCTCACGGACCCTGCCGTTCCTACGCATGCAATCGAGGCTGTCACAATCGTGACCTGAACCGTGAACTGAAGGGTGCAGTATAAAATTACGCGATTTAAGTGACAATTATTGGTGTGTCCAAGAGCATATCACGCAATGCGTGGGCTACAATACGGGTTTCAATCGAGGGTCAGTCTCTTTTGTTTGTTTAAATACTAAAAATAAAACTGACAGCATGCACAAATACGTGAAACATGCGCTTTCAAAATGAATTTCAAGGGAGTTTTTCCAAATTAATTTTCGAGCAAATCGCTAACATTATAAGTAACGTTATATAAGAAATTACAAAAAGGTACGATATATTGAAAAAGAACAGAGAATCATACAAAAATGAAAATAAATTTTGGATAAGTGTACTTTCGCTTCCAAGTCAAAAGTCTTTAAAAAAAATAATGACCTCAAAATAATTGAAAGTTCGTGTAAACCAGAAAACGTTTTTATCGTGAAATTGAACTTGAACCAAGGGTCCATTACTTGAACCTTGGATTGTTCTTCCATTTGTCAGGAAACAAAGATGGTCAGAAGTAAAAGACCGCCAAGGAATTGCGTCTTAACTTGAAAGAAAAAAAAAAAAAAAAAAAAAAAAACATTGTTGTACCTGGAAAGAATCCTGATCTTTCCGGAGTTTAGCTATTCTTGTGATAATGTTTTTTGTTTTGTTTGTTTTGTTTTATTTTAAGCATGCGCTAATGTATTGCACAATCCGACAACACCAAAATGTGTCGGAGTACCCAAGGACCAGTCGCTATTTATCCCCTGGGGAGGCGGGAGGGGGCGGTTGAAGTATTTTCCTTCCGTCACGATACAATCTACCCAAGCTCTGAAAAAGGATCTGTAATGTTCCTATACTCCTCCTTTTGATCTTCTCAATTCAAGGTGCTTTAAGAAAATTCTCCTCACAAACCTAACCAAAAATGTATTTGTATGACCATGAAAAACAGCGAAAATGTTTTTTACTCAATATTAGCATATTAATGAGCGTTGAACCTTCATGCACAATAATTTATGTAAACATGTTCTAACACTGCGAAGTCGACATTTGATTCTATCAACACGAATTAGACAGTTTGAAGATCGCGTGAAAATTCTATACCAGGGTGACAGTACAAGTTGCACGACGCAAAAAAGTTTTGTCATGATAATTGATTGAGTCTGAAAAACGATTTTATTTTTTTAACCCTAATGTGACAGGCCTCTGTGCCTTTCCGTCAAGTCATAACTTTAACTTGAAATTCAAGGAGAAGACTCAACAACTGCCATCCCTTTTTGGCTGCTTTCTTAATTTCTCTAGCATTCACGCATCTGGCCCCCGCTCTGACTGTTTCGTCAATCGAGCGAAAAAAAAAGTTTTAAGTCATTTAAAAGAGACAGGGAAAGAGTGAAGGAGTGAACCTGCCAGGATCAAAAATATTGTTTCTGAAATGGAACACTGCTGCAGACTGGATACCGTTTTATATGAAGCATCAATTAAAATACCCTTTGAATAAAGCAAAAAAACTTGAAATTATTATTTTGTGGCGTAGTCAAACCTCGACAAGCTAATGATAATAATCCGGAAAGGAACCAATATGGCGAGAGATGACAAACATTAACACGGATTTCAAAGGACGCAATCCAAACAAGGACAGAGTTTGTCGGAAAAAGCGTCATGTAGGTTTTTAAAAAATTGATCGGGGTTTGGAGAAACAGAGCAGAAGGGCAGGAAACCGCAGATTGATTCTCAATGATACGAAAATAGAGTATCTGATCAATCGGTTAAATTTAAAGTCGAGGACACTCGACTCAGTAATTTCCTCAATTTTGTGGTTTGGCCGCGATTGAATTCTCATCTAATGTTGAAACCACAAAATGTACTTGATGAATGCAAGTTCCTCGTATTGACCAGTCACGTACTCAGAATGAAGATTGTGCTCTTCGCAGTGCAATAATTCGTCAAAGCACAGGAGTAAAAGAAAACCGGACGAGAAAACCATTCTGAATTTAACTCCTGTGACACAGCTTTAGCATTACTGGCACAAAGCCAAACCATCAGCAAACAGGAACTGTCAGTGTCTAGCCTGATTATAAAATTGATTCTAATTTGGACCCAGTTCCGTGAGCCTTCGGCTGAACCGGTTGGCTGAGCTGATCGTTTTTCCTGCATTAACGTTTGTGAATCTGTAAAACTTTTAACTTAAACTTTTCAGTTTGTTATTTGAAATATCTGTAAACCTTTTTCCAAACCCAGTTATCTTTGTCCCTTTCACTATTATTCACTATTAAACAAGATTATGATTAGGATTGTGAGGTAGGGTCCTTCGTGTTGAAGGAAATTATGCAGGCCAAACGATTTTTGTTTTTACACATTTTCAAGTTACTTCTTACAGAGCTATCACTAAAACAGCTTCCCTCGATTTACCGAGACCTCAGAAACTATAGTTGCGGGCCACACAACCTTGCGATTACATGACAAACAAAAGACCCAAGCCGGATGGAATCGGGAACGCAGAATAGCTATACAGCGACCTGGTCAACCAAACAAGTCCGTTTTTCATGCAACTGAGGCCGCCGAACAACTTGTTTTCCCCAACCAACCGAGCTCTATAACAGAACCCTCAAGAGATCGTAAATTGTTCCATCTCTCCATTCAGGATCAGTTATTCACAGCCAAATTTCGCTAGCTCGTTCGCTCTATCGTCTCCATTTCTTTTGCTGACTTCTCTTGGCAAAATATTTGCGACCTAATTTTCAGTGTACCTCTTTTCCCCCTTTCTTCCCCTTTGAAATCCCGTGCTGATTATTTAAGCCTTGCAATTTCATAATTTACCTGAATTAATTTCTTTCTCTAGGTTGCTATGTTGGGCAGTTAGCTCGATAGCACGGAACCCCGCCAGTCAAATGCATCTACAAATACCTCGAGCTTACAGTCCGATCGTGAAGTACATCTCACATATAACTCGTGGAACACGGATCAATCGTGAACATACAATACAACACATCAGTAAACTTGAAATATGCGTGTGGTAAAAAATATCAGTACCTCCTTTAATTACAATTTATACAAATACTGGATGTTTCATAACTTATGACAAGCTAATTTTCTTTCTTAATAAATACAAGATTGTATGCAACGTGTTTCATCATTTAAAATACCGCAAACACTTAGCTCTTACTAATGGTTTTGATGTGAGCATATGCACAACTAATTATGTAAGTCGTTTAAAATTACCGGATAAATTTATCGCACCGCAAAGCTAGCGTGAACAGTAAAAAAAGTAATCATGTTCGCTGTGCGATAGTCTGAAAACAACTTTGTAGTAATTATGCAGGATTTTGTGAAGTTTTTGGGAATTAAGTGTAAAACTCCCTTTTTTAACTATTTCTGAAGGTAATTCTTACTTTAAAAAAGTTTAGTCGATAAAAGAGCTAAATTAGGATTGTTAAAAACACCAGAGACGAACAGACTGCAAACAACGAAATTTTAAGTAGTAAAAAAAAATTAATACTACGGATGTAACTCTACTATGGTCGCTCAGTTGAAATATTAACGATTTAAAAGGTGCTAAGGTCATAATAACTGATAGCAATTATTCCACAGAGATAAGGAAGCGTCATTTAAATGAGTTATGGCTTTATGTGCGAACCCAAGGCGCCAATGTATTTCTCCAGCTATCAATTTCTGATAAGATTCCACCAAGAAAGTTGGCAGTTATTATTTCATTGACCACCTAAATTTCTTTCATTCTATTCATTTTGTTTCGCGTTAAATTCCGCCTGGATTTTAAAATAAAACAAAACGCAACGTTTGATTTAAAGTAGGAAGAAAAACAACACTAAAGCTTAGGAAATTTATTGTAAGACATCTGACTTCTAGAAAAAAAAACAAGCAAGATATGATATGTCATCGAGAAAAATTCAAGGGAAAGAAAATCGAAAGCATTGGCATAATGGAATTTCGGTTTACACAATATGTTCCTAGTTAAATAAAATATCTCTCATTCGCGACCCTGATACATTAAAAGCTTATTTTTTCCCGTATCAAACATAACTGTAATGGAGCGATTCAAAAGAATTTTGCCTTGCCGCGGCGGTTTGCGACAGTATGGAATTCGAGTGCGACCAGTTTTAACTTAAATTGTGATCGATCACTTACCAAATCCTTCTTTTTCCTTAGATCTATGGCAGCTTAAACGTGATTAGTGGTGGAACCAAACCTATACCAAACGTTCCCTTTGAAAAATGTTAATTAGCTTACTGTCACAGCTGTTCACCTTTTCCATAAATTTGAATTGACTAAGAGAAAAAAAGGTATCTTAAACATATCTTTTATTTTTTATGCGTGTATCGACGAGACTCTGATGAACGGTAAACATTAGCCGATCCTTGATGACTGAGTATGATAAGAATTTTCTCGAATGATATAAGGATCCCGAAGAGAAAAAAAAACACACAGAGCATTTTGAATTTTTCCCAGTTGTTTCCGTCGTTTGATGTGTAGCATGAAGCATTCAGCAGTCACCCTCATGCCTAGAGTAATCTCGATTATTTTAAAATATCAGTTTACCACTATTTCATTTTCATGGTAACAATCTTAAGTGTATATGTCATGTTCGTGACATCTGAGCCGAATAAAGTACATGTCGGCTTTTTACATGTTGAATGTTTTCAAAGAAATTGTCAGTTGTAATAAATATATCTCTCTTTCGCAAATGGCCATGTGTAGCGCCATTTAGAGATACATGAATTAGTCCATTCCAGCATCGCTTCCAGACATCCTGAGCCGCCTACCAAACAAATATATATTATCTTACTTACTAAGTTCCGCCTTGAACATCCTGTAAATATAATTAATGAACTGACAAGCAGAGGACTGCGTCGGCAAATCGTTGCAAAGACCGTGAGAGACTATCTGCAAATTGTCGTTGATGAAAGCTCATGATGTTATTGGCGGCAGCTGGACGCAACGCTTGGGCAAAGGAGACGGTTCGATAGAGGGGAGTGTTCCGTTTTTAGACTGCTTTGCAAGTTTTGGCAGTAAATCCTTCACTAATTTCCAGCCGTTTTTTTCATCCTGTTTGTGTACCAGCGGCGCCGTATGCTTTTCTTTATTCAGTCCATGATGATGCGTTCTCAATGGCGTAGCAGATCCTTCGAGCCAGAATGTTGTCCACGTACCTTTACCCTAAAAGGATAAGGAATCATTTGTGAAGGGTTCCCATGAAACCACAGGAGCCTCACAGAGTGGAGTGACTGTTTGAATGGTACGTTTTTAAGTTGTGAAAAAAAAAAGGAACGAGAATGAAAAGATAAAAAACCTAGAGGACCCTTCGTTTTAGTTCCCAACTTCCCTCCATACTGATAAGATTTCTTTTATCTGCGACGAAAACCATCTAGTCCTATTCACATATTAATGATTTAAGTGCAATTCGTATTCTCGCCGCTTTTCGGGAAAATAGCATAAAAAAGTATTGTTAATCTTAATTTTTTCGTGATTCTTTCACCATTTCCTTAAGAAGTAGCCTTAAGATCACATACGTAATGTAGCTATTTCGACGATGACAAACTTTTTCCTTCTTCCGTAACAAACTTCCTCCCGTAAAAACTGGAAAGCCATTTTTGGGCGAGGAGATGGTCAAGACATAAATTGTAATATTTTTCCGACTACTACGTCAAACAAATAATGAAGGACACACACTCAAACTCATTTGCATCAACCCCGCATAGGTTGCTTAGAAACTGCTCAACCCCTCATCTGACCCTAGCCCTGTTGCACGCAAAAAGAATCATTCAGAAACACAATAACTAAAAAAAAGTGTTTTCGAACATCGCATGACTAAGCGCGCGAAGTGATGTGAATGAAAAGAGGTAAAATCATTTGCAGGAATTGAATTCAGAAAACACAGGAACACATCAAACAGATTAACCTGAGGGACATCACAGGAAAAATTGTACAGCCGGAAAGATTAAGGCAACTATAAAAAGACACGACGTATCGGAACTGAAGGAACTGCAAAACCTACCGCCCACCACAATACATGTATTTACACTAAGGAAGACGTATTACTATAAATTATTATGAAATCAATATTTAGAACATGACCCAGCGGAAGTGACCAATTAAGGGGAAGGCCCTCATTCAGAGAAATTCGGTATCTAGAAAGGCCTTGTATTGTAACTGTTTGTTAGAGTCACATTAGATTTTGCGAGAACATTGACGTATAGCTACCTTTAAAAATACTTCTCCTCTCCTTTCAATGTGATAACCACCAAGAGATTCCAGAAGATTCTTGGCGTCCGGACTGATATGAATCTTAAGAGCTGAAAGCAAATTGTTTTCATATTACTAAGTAAACCTAAAAGATACCCGAGCCATCAGGTCAGGCCATGTGGCATTCAAATTACAAACAAAAGCTGGCAAACCGCGAGCACAAAATAAGGGCAAACACGCCGCTAGTAGCGGAATGCGAGGAGCCTGAAACCAGAGAGGAGGGCTACAAACCTTAAGAAGTGCAAAACGTATTGAAAAAAACTGAATTGAAAGGCCTGCATCCAGTAAAAATCACGGATTTCGACAAGACAGTTTGGTTAGATAGTCTGGGTCTGACACCATGCGACTTCCAGACTATATTCAAAATTCTAGCTTCTCCCCTAACTTCTCACCAGAAACGCCTTTTTGCAGTATGATACATGGGACTTCCAGAAAACGGCAGTTGAAAAAGACGAGTTTTTCGTTCCACAATATTGCTCCAGAAAAGGTTACCTATCGCCTTGATTCCGTGTGCTCGACTCTCCTTCCTTACGTCCAGACAAATAAATAGATAAGGCATTGACAAAGCCAACAAAATTATTCCTGCATGGACTAAGCGTTACAGGACTTCATTTACCATCCCTAAAATGATGAATACACCCACCTTCTCCATTGGATTCCATTCTAGAGGCAGTGTTTACTGTATCACCAAACAAACAGTAACGAGGCATAGTGTTACCGACCACACCCGCAACAACAGGTCCTGATCAGAAAAATTGATGGTTTAGACTTACGATTTTCTACCGTTTGTAATATTATTATTCGAATTAACCGGATTAATAAACTTGGATAGCATTATTTTTAATTCTGCTGTTGCTGAGCTAGTGAAAAGCTAAAAGTATAAAATACGTCGAATGGCATCTTCAAGTTTAACCCATTCACTCCCAAGATCTCATCAGTAATTTTGCTTACTCTCAGCCACACAATTCTTATCATGTTAGTTTGGAGAATTTGGTATTGGATCAACTTGTAGTCCTCTGATTGAGTTTTCTTCTTTATTCTTCTCACTTGTCTGTTTGATATTGCATTGACATTGTAAGAAGAATTTCTCTCTTCGTCATGGGAGCTAAAGGGTTAACTTTCTTTTTTTTCAAATTAAGCGAAAACCAGCAAGGGTCCTTTGGTTGGTCAAAAGGAAGGATAATTTATAACTTCAGTTTTAAAAATTCGCCTAGGTAGTTCATTTAACTGTAAGTTGAATATTCATAACTTTTGCTCTGAGTCATGGGTTTCGCCCAAGTGTTTGGCATTGAAGAGGTTTTCTTTATTCACTCCGCCCAAAGCAGGTTAATTTTGTTTTCCACTAATAATTCTTTCCGACGTGTGTGCGTCTGGGTCCAGTTTGTTCAAAGTGCGGATATCCATCGGATAAATCGCTATCCAGTGGATAAGTGTTAACAAAACATACTGCGCTATCCACTGGATAGAGATTTATCCAGTGGATAGCACGGTATCCACTCTTCGATCAACCGGTGCACTAAGTTCTGTTGAAATCGCGATAGAGAGGTAAGTTCTTATAGCAAAGTGTTTTTTAAGAACAAACTTTAATTCAAAATTTGACGGATTTTCTCTTACCACTGTGAATTCCTATCCTGAGCTTTAACTGTTCACGAGGCCTGTGATGTATTTTAAAATTATATATCTCTTTACGCATGTGCAGAGCCACGCTTGCTATTTCCCCGGCGTGTTGATGACCATTCCGGATTGGCAGTCCTGAAACCACCATATAAGCGTCACCAATTGTCTCCACCTGAGCATGAAAGAGAAAAGAAGACGAATGCAAGATTAACGTGGCATATTTGGAGCAGCTGAGCTCAGTTCATTTCCAATTTTAACTGCCACCCAAGGTGTTGTTCCCATAGTAACGTCATAAGAATACTAACGTAGCTGATAAAAAGAAAGATATTCAATGTCTTTTCATCTTGGAGAACTATGGCGAAGTTTATCAAGTTCGCCCGTTCTCTCCATTCTTGGTCATTCTAAATCCATCTCAGTGCCCTTTTATCTCGTAAATGATGTTGCTTTTTTCCACGTTAATATCGGTAGGTACAGCCGGTTTTGAACAACTTGGTCCTCTTTTTTTTAGCAAATGGGCAGTACTTGATAATCAAGAACCAATGAACATCATGTAATGCGAAGCTTATTTTATACCCACCTTGTACACGTCGTAATTACTGATGATGTCATCAAACAAAGTATACAAATCATTTAAAAGTTCCACAACCTGAAAAATTATCAAAAAGAGACGAAATGAAATCATTTCGGCAAATTTCAAGAAATCAGCTTTAAGCAATATTTGTGTCAATGAAACAATTTAGACTGGCTTTCAAAATCATTAGAAAGGCAAATTCACAACGGGAAACCAAATCTGCCTTTATTCGCTACATAAGCGCCTTATTATAGATATATAAATCAAACCAAGTGTAATGGAGGAAACGAAGTCACCTGTGTTGCAGGCCCTCACTTGATTCGAACGTACACCAGAACAGCAATGAAAAGGTTGTATTATTATGGAACAGAAATAGACCGAAGGGACGGGCATCTTAATACAACCTTATTCTTTTCAAATAGGCCTGCCGATCATTACAGTTATTTCCTTAGATAATGGCTCCGCTGCAGATCCGCTATTACTGAGGAGATCTGCCTATATAGCTGAATCCTAATTTTTTTTTTTTTTTTTTTTTTTTTGCATCATTCTAAACATCATCGTAAATCGTGGTCGCTGTATACATAATGTAAGGATAAGTTGAACCATGAGCGCATGAAACTTGCTCTGAACATGCTCATAAAATCCTAATACAATCACAATAACTACGTATATAAACTTAAAAAGCATTTCTATTGCCATACCTGAAAAGGGGTGCTCTCCGAAGATAACGACGTAAAACCGACGATATCGCTAAAGAAAATTGATACTTCATCGAATTTTTCCGGCACTATAGTCTTTCCATTAACAAGGTCACGTGCGACAGGTCTACAAATAAAAGTTGTTAAAAGTTGGCTGAAAGAAACTTTTAAGTTATAGAATTACAGATAGATAGAATAAACTTCCTATGGACACTCGCTTTGAAACTAAGAATTGAACATCTCGGTCGAAAGCCAGAAATTTTTTGTTATTATGGTCCTATTAAAGTGTGGGAATGAAAGGGTGTTTTATTGTTCAGTATAATCTACATAGGGTCAAGGACTCCTTTACAGATCTTCCACATGGACTGTTTTATTTTATCATTTATCTTTATTCTTTACTATTGTATAGCAGCTAATAGCCATTAAATCGTAATAAAAATAAAAAAAATTCAAAATAGCTTATCATGGATGACGACACGACTGAACGTATCACTACTTCCCTTCCCTACAAAAACTCCATCACCAACCAAAGCGTATTTTGAGCAACCCCCGGCTCCTTGAGTGAAAGTCACAGTTTAGGAACACAGAGATGAATTGCTAATCCTTCCCAAAACGTTAAAACGAAGAACATAGCAGATAGAAGATGAGCGGTTCCTTTCAATCCTAAGACCGCCTAAATAACTCAATACACCTCTATTATCTGGAATTTTTATAAAGAGATGACTTCTCTTCGCAGACGCGGTGTCCGGTTGCAACCTTGTACTGGCCGCTTGTTATTTTCATCATCTATCGTGAATTTATACCTGTTACGTGGATACTTACGGAGGAAGCATTCTGTGCAGGAGATTCTCAGTTTTTCGTTTTTCATCGGCCAGCTGCGATGTTCTTTCCTCCACTAAGCTTTCCAAGTTGTTTGCATATTTTTCCAACATGTTCACCATGTTATCCATTATGTTTGTTTGCCTAAAACGATTTCAATTTATTATATTTAGTATGAAATATTACTTTTTATAGTAAGATCCTACATAATTAGACCATTTTTCATTCTGGAGCCTAAAGTGGCCTTAAAAGTATTTTCCTTAGAAGCCGTTCTATGGAATGCTACACGGCAATTCCCCCAAAAGAAGTCTTGTGCGACGTCCCAAAGTACGCCCGCGATCGAGACAAACATTTTTCCAAGTTCGACGCACTAAATATGTGATACTATAGGTATAGACATAAATTGTTCAAAAAAAGGGAGCAACGCCAAGACACTATAAACAGTCTATAATCTCTTGATAACACTAAGCCTCCAATAACAATTATAAAGAGACCTTGGGAAAATCAAATTCTACGACACTGGCTGAGGCTGAACATACCTTCCAACAGACATTTTTCGGATTTGTCTCTTCAAATCTTCAAATTCAGGTCTGGCTTCGGGTTGTTCGTTCCAGCATTTTTCCGTCATTTGTATCAAACCAGGGACTTCGCATTCCTTCCCAATGTTACTGAGCTTCGGACGAAAAGGTGGGTTCTCATGTATCATGACTCTCTGGATAATTTCTGGGAATCAGAAAAACATATTTCTTGCAAACTGATAAATGAGACTATCCGTTGCGCTTTCGCAGTGCTTCATGATGTTTAATCAACAGTTCAGCAACGCGAACTCTATAGTTAACATGCTAATCAGTGTCGTTAAGCGCAAGTAACACGGTAGTCCGTCTCAGACTATCGTTTCTTAAAATGAGCGAAAATCGGCAGGGTCTTGGAAAGAAGATGTTGCTCTTCCCCGTTCTCCAACATTTATCCTCTTGATCTTTTCCCTACTCGCTCGTTCCGACAAAATAAGTTCCCACAAGAATCTATTTCATGTAAAATTATTTCTTTTCAGAAATTAAGTACTCTTGTATCAGTTATTCCACAGAAATTTGACAAAGTCTGTTTAAAAATCGCTAACTTTGAAATTATCTACTGAAATCTCGTAGACAGTTATTTCCAGCGTTTTCCCCCGATTGGCAACGTTTATCATGGGAAAATAGAAAACACGGAGACGAAAGCTTCCTAGTTCTAACAAATCAGTATAAAGCAAATTCTAATAAGGGAAAGAGGACGAAGTTAATCAAACAAGGCAAGAGTTGATTACCTTTTGGTTCAATGTGATAATAAGACATATCAAAAGGCCCTGAACGAGTCAGCAGCTCCTGACAAATGATAGCGAAGCTGTACACATCTCCTTTTTGAGTGCCTCTACCGTGTTGACCTTTGCCCGCGCGCAGAAGTTCAGGTGCAGTCCACATCAAACCTAAAGGAGCAAGAGTACGTTGGGCTGATGAGAATCTGCTAAGAGTAGCTCACCTTGTTTACTTCGCATTGAAAATTTGAAATCGAAAGGTCCTAGTTCGAAAAATGGCGGGAACAATGTCTTGTGTACAAGGACAAAGACACTCTTCTCTCGCAGTGTCCCTCTGACCTTGGAGCGTAAAAGAGCACATGTACCAACACATTGTCAGGGGAGCCTGATCAAAGTCCTATCCAGGCGGAGTACAATTTATCCAGCCGCTTAGTTATATCAAACCAGAATAAGCGAATAATCAGAATAAGCAGCGGCATGGGAAAGAGACTGGAGCATATTTGAAAAAACATGCGCCAGACCCAACCATCAAAGTCGGTGAGAATGTTCGCCCAATGGCAACTTTCGACCGCGTTAGCCTGAGAAGAATTGAAAGTTTTTGAGTGATATTCGCTCAGGCGAGGAAATTAACCTCACACGAATAACGACTCTGCCAGATACTCGGGCTAAACGAAGGACATCATCTCTTATTCTATTTACAAACATTTCATAACCCTTTTGAAATTGGGGGAAGAACATTCTTTCCATTGACATGATACTAGTTCAGTATTATCTGAATGTTGGTTATTGGCCTCGAAGATGCAACAAGCCTCAGGCGAAGGAATGCATGAATTAGCCTTAAGAGTTAACAAAAACATAAACGTACGGTAGAACTTTGCGTAATCTCCTTCATCTCTTTCAGCTTGATTTGCCTTGAACTTTGTGAGCCCATAATCAGTAATCTTCAGGACCCAGCGGCCATCCACTACACAGTTTGACGACTTCAGATCCCCGTGTGACTTTATGTCTGTGCTGTGCAAATAAGCCATTCCCTATGACAAGAAACAGGTCGTTTAGACGAAGGAACCTCTGACAAATATTTAAAAGATTTGACGAAGTTTTTCCTTTGGAAGAAGCGTTAATTTCTAACCCGTAGATTTAGTTTTTCATTTTCAGTCTGCAAACGATGGAGTTTGTTTACCCTGGAAAAGTTTCTAACTCGCGAAACCTACTCAAAACTTCATGGCTGTACTCCTATAACCATGTGACCAGATATGATTACCTTCACAACGTCTGTCACCAATGACGTCACAAACATGGTGTCCAATTTCACGTCTTCGTTTTCAAGAATGTCCTAAAAGAAATTTACAGCTATTAAAACCCTCTTTTTTAGTACAATACAACAGTTATACGGATCTCTGTTTCTATCCTGAAGTTATATTAGTTATATAAATAACGTCTCTACGCTCTCGAGAGCTCCGAGTTATAACTTTCAACAGATAAGCGCACCCTCCAGGAGGAGGGAAACTTGGATGAACAGCTGAAATATTTGAACACTAACGTTCGTTAAACTTAAACAAGGCTACCGTAGTTTACCTGTAAGCTTCCTTTTGGTCCATACTGGAACAAGATGCAGATGTTGGGGATGTCTACGCATGCGCCCATGAACTGTGCCAAATTGTCATGATGGACATCGCGCATCTGCAGTATGATTAGTTTAGTATGACAGTTGCGTCTCTCCTAAGAACTACTGATAATGTCAAACTGAGTGAAGGGGTCAAAAAGAATTGTGTTAAATTCAATCCGGGATTGAAATTATCTCACGTTCATGCTTAGCTTGTGATTGCCCTTGAGACTCAACCAATGCAATGCAAAACTAAAGAAACGCACTCTGAGTGCAAATGCGTGATATGAATATCTAGAAAATGCCTAGCAATTTGTAAAGACTTACGTGTGTCTGGAGCACAGTCGAAGTTGTCAAAATTTATTAAACAATTGTGCTCTAAATGTTTGAGATACTCAAACCTTTTTGGTTACTTCTCTGTAACTCTCACCTGCTTGAGCTCCATTCTGACCTCCCTGTTCAGTTCCAAGTTTTTCTTGCTGACTTTCTTTATAGCGACTGTATTGCCCTGATGATAAAAATACTTTGTCGAGTTGTTTACAGCATTAGAACTTTCTTCGAATTACTCTTAACTAACAAAGATGTCTTTCTACCCTTGTGCGCTGGTCAAAAATTTGAACGACCAATCTACAGAGTAATAACTCACCCTCCAAGAGCCGACGAGTGTGAAGAGTTGGCGTTGATTGAGGTTATCAAAGCTCTCAGTGGAAACCAAGCTAACCTAGAAATATGTGAAGTTCAGGAAACGAGTCAGTTGGGCACATGAAAGCCTGTCTGTCTGACCAACTGACTGACTGACTGACCGAAGTGACTCACTCACTCACTCATTGACAGGCTGACTGACTGACTGATTCAGTGACTGACGGACTGACTGAGCGACTGGCTGACTGACGGACTGACTGACTGAGGGACTGACTGACTAGCTAGTCTGACTGACTGGCGACTGATTGAATGACTCTGTTGACTAAATATGACTGACCACTCACAACTTATTGGCTGACTGACGGACAGTGACTCACTCACTCACTCACTCACCAATCGACATAAGATCGACCGAGCGACCTGCTTATGATCGGCTGACTGGTCTACCGACCGCTAGACCTGTGTTTTACCTGGCTGCGTAGAGATCCTGGTTGTCTTGTTCTTAGAGAAATTTCCTGATAGCTCACTCGCCAAGAATTGCTCGCGAGTTCTTTCTCAAGTTTCTGTTTTCTGTGAGACAAATAATTATAAAATCAAAACGTTTTCATTCGTTCCATCACAGAACCTCAATAAAAATCAATCACAGAATAAATAAATGCACCTACCGAGTATGATTACAAAATGATGAAGAAACAACTTTACTATACCTGTAAATGATGGCTCCAGCAATCAGAATGACTACCACCATGACACCAAGACAAATGGAAACTATCTCCGCCACCGCTGTAAAAAAATAAAAATTTACTTTATTATGAACTCTCTTGAACTTGCAAAATAAAAATACTCACTGCAAGGGGGGCAAGAGGTACGTTCGTACAAGGGTACGTTCAACATTTAACAAATAGATTCCGTGTTACAGTGTGTATGTTCAGTAATAGATCACAGATGACGTCAAACTGTGGTAAGAACAACAAAGGGACCAACGAGGCGCAGCCGTTTGTGTCACTGATGTTCTCACCACGTTTTGCCGTCTTTTGTGATTTATTACTAAACAGACCCACGGCAACATGGAATCTATTTGTTTCATGTGATAAATAGAGAACAATATATGGACGCGCCTAGATATGGAATTTCTCTTCGAGTTGACCACAAGATTAGAAATTTCATATCTACAAGCAACCATGTATTAGTTTGTTTACCATATAGGCCCAAAGCCTTTTACAGATGAGAAAAGTCGACTTTATTAATGAATGAAAACGAAAGGGTCGACATTCCGAATAAAGCACGTTTGCGCGCTCAAGATGGACATATGCGTTGAATCACGACAAATATGAACAATGGGCCTAATTTTCAATGTACAAAATTCTCAGTTATTGACTCATTCCTTCCCGACCAAAGAAATCTTTCACGTACACGTCAACATCCGCCTGTGGCAAATCTAATTCCAGTTGACGATTTTCGTTCTCAGTGGCGAGAAATACCATTACCAAGGTCTTTCGGTTTTTCTTTTCGTATTTTGGTTTTCTTCTACTTCTAGGAAAAGTTTGAACGTCACTGTCTGTAATTAAGCGATACGGATTATTTTTTTTTTTTTAGCAGCCATAATCTGAAAAAATTCTGACAAACGACCTTGGATTGAGAATGGTGAAGGCTTTGCCGTTCGTTCATTAACTTGACTGAGTGTCGTGTGTGAGGTGTCAGCAGCTGATTGGCGATATCAAACAAACGTGAAAAAATACCGCATTTTTTCAAGTGTGTAGTTACGGCTTTTCTCAGGGCTGGAAATCCTTGTATAACACCGTAGTTTATATGATAAAAATAGACAGTTTTGTTAATGGTAAAGCCATCTATGCGTTTTACTTCTCTGCATAATAGTTGTAACTTACATAGCTTTTTTTTCACCTCCACGGGACATTTCTCATTTTCAAAACCACATTCTGGAGCATCAACAGGAGCTTTGTCATTGATCCACGAAATGGTGGCGTTCGGATACAGGTCGAAAGAAATTGTGTTGTTTTTATCATCCTCTACTTTAAACATTCCTCTGTTTTCAAATCTTGGCTCCTCTAAATAATGAAAGAAACAACACGTCCACAAGTAAAATACAGTTAAAGACAAAAGCTCGTCTTGGTTCGAGACGATTTTGTCAAATACTTAAACCGAAGCAAATAATCCAGCAGCTTTCCTATAATTTCTCCATTTACTTCTTCGAACGATTGAGGTTTCTATGAATTGAAACCGTCGACACTCGAGCCCCTAATAAGAGGTTAAATAGTTCGTTTTTCTGTTTGCAGTGTGTAAAATGTGTATCTCAAGGTAGACTTTTCTTCATGATTGCAATCTTTGGGCAAACTTGCTCCACTTTTGGCCAATCAGCGAAACGCAAGAGAGTGCCAGCATCATGCGAAAGAGATGGTTGGCTTAAGCGCCCTGGCTTTTTCAGGGAAATGGAAGGAGTGAAATAGTTCGGACATATTTCATGGGAGCTGAAAAGTTTAAGTGAAAGAGGGTCTATCATACCGTAGTTTTCATTGAAGTCCATTACTGTGAGATTGTGTTGCACATCTCCGTTTTTATTGAGAAATATATCATAGCCAAGAATGCCTGAAAGGAAAAAACGCTTGTGCGTGAACTTGTGAAACAGTTATCAAATAATTGTGAGCTGGTAACGTTGCTATTGGAGTGGTTAAAATTGACAGAAAAAGGTTAACTGCTTTTAAAGAAATGTAAAGGGTTATAGAGCTCTTATGCTTATCAACGTCTAGTGGTCAAAACATTGAATGTTGGGCTCTAGTTTGTCTTAATTGTCGTCGTCTGAGAATACGTCGTAATCGTGTTAGCTCCTGGAGTTGTCGTCGTTGCAATTTTCGTCATTAAGGTCTTTGTATCTTTTGCCCTCGTAACTCTTTGTCGCTCAAGTCGTCGTTGTTGCATTAGTCGTCATCAGTATAGCCGACGTCATTGTATCTGTCTTCGTTACAATCCATATGGTTGTCGCGCAAATCTTCGTTTTAGTATTTGTCTCTATCATTTACGTCGTCCGGAGTAATTTTCGCCGAAGTTCGTCGCATTTGTAAATCCATGCAGCTAGCTGTAGGAAGGTTCAACGTAGCCCGACCAACTAAACATGGCTGGTTGCACGGCAGTCCAAAACAAATCGAGTCATTACTGCTTGGTCATACTTACTGGAATATGATTTGCCATATAGAACACTCATCACTGCTCTACCATCAGTAGCGTTCTTTCCTTCAGAAATTGTCTTATTAACTCCAATAGCATACAGATACGTCGCGTCGTAAAGGTAAGCCGTCTGTATAGGGGCCTGATAAGTGGAAAACAACAGATAGATTATGGACGTGTCACTGTAAAAGTCCTCTTTACGATTAACTAAAGAATTTACTCTGGTTTATTGATCTGTCCTGAGAAGCTGGAGATCTGGTTTATGATCATCAGATAGTAAATGTAAAATGCTTGGACTGTCAAGCGTAGCCAGACAACAGAGTGCTGTAATAGATGAAAAAAAATAAAGGTTTAATTTGCGCCCACTGGTGGATCCAGTGATTTTGGACAGGGGAAATGCAAATGTTCACGCCGAAAACACAAATCCTTTAATGCTGTTCCTTTAATATCTGGAACTGTTCAACTGCTCACTTGTTGACTTTATGACTAACTCTCCCCTCCTCTTAATAATAGTGTTAATGAAATCTGCATTTATACCCTTCTGTCAAAATTTGGATACAGGAGATCTCCAATCATTTGATATCCCTTGTAAGCATCACTACAGAATGGCGGCTCAGACATTTTGTGTTTCATTTCAACTGTAAAATTCTCATACTCCTCAATCTTCAAAGTGTTAAAAACCATGAGTAACATCGATTTGTACGCGTCGTATAACTCCTTTTTCTCTTGATCGGAGAGAGACTTCATCCACGTTGACGGATATTTGCCATCAAACAAAAGAGCTGGTTTTGCTGTATATCTTTGAACTAGGACAGGATCCAGTTCAAAAGAAATGAAGGCGTAATCTCCATTGTTCATTCCTAGTTTAGAGGCATAGTACATTGCCTCTCTCACAAGTCTTTGTTCCATGGCAAGAATAATGACTGAAAAACAGAAAAAAATTCTCATAAGTGAACCAAACCTAAAAAAGGAAAGAATTCATAGGATCTTAGAAAGGGTCTGCTCAAAGTCACAGGACCCTTTCTACCCTTAAAGTGACCCAAAGCGACTAACAGCCTTGCGTCTCATCCCTTGATTAGATACCAGTCCATCGCATCATTTCGTCAGATTTCACAAGACAGTTCTCGTACTTTCCTGGGTGGAGAGAGGCGCTGTGAGTGTTGAGTATCTTGTCCCAAAACACAACACAATGACTCAGCCTGGGCTCGAAGCCGGACCACATGATCTGGAAACCACCGCACTAAACACCACTGAGTCCTCATTTTTAATACCAACAGTCAATTCATAATTTCATTCACCCGTTACTAAACTGATGTGGTTCCTCATGGAAGTGGATCAAGTTACATGGGTGTGTTCTATTTCATTAGTTATACTCTTCGCAGCCGCCCATTTCATGGTATGAGTGATATTGAGTGATTTGAACGCTTCAAAAACGTCTACGCAGTTTTGGCATGCACGCGCCTCGCTCTTCGCGTTCTGACCCAAACCTGTTTTAACAAATTGGAGCTAGCGTAAGCGAATTAAAAGATTTTACACTTACTTCTGGCTTTGTTTTTGCTTTGACTTAAAACTTCTTTGAATTGTTCGCCATGTTCTTTTGCTTTATACAAACGAATATACGGTACTCTACTGTGCATCGTGACTGTTTTTCCAACGGAACCCAAAAAAGACTCTAAGAAATCTGCCCTTCGTTTCCAGTCGTGCTCCTCCTCGCTGATTATTCCGACCAGGTTCCAGTTAAAATAGTTCATAATCGCCGACACCGACGGACCAATGCTATTGTCGCCGAAAATGGTTCGTGCGAAGGTTGGATAAAGCTGTTTATCGGAAACCGCGTTTGATGTGCAGAGCTTGAACAGGAAGATAAAAAACGATAAAGTTTAGGCTACCAGTTTCAGTTTTTTCCGATTTTGTAGATAGCCTTTGATCTGAAAATTAAGTTCCCGCTGTCAAAATTCCGCGGCGAAAAAAAAAGGCTGAAAACTTCACTACTCAGAGTCAAAAGAAAAAATCTTTACGCAGGCCATATGTCAAATTGTACTCCTTGAGAACTTACTACTGAAAATATCCATATACGAATCATTTACCACGTATTTCCCTCACATCTTACAAAAAAGCTAAGTTGGTGCGTTTTTCTCTGCATTTACGTTATAAAGATAATTGCTAAAACTATTAACCTGCAAAAAAATTCTGTCGTGTCAAACCGCAAAAGTTTGCACCCGCTAAAAATTTACCAATGCTAAATAAACCTCTCGCAAAATTTTCCACGCAACGCGGTAGTTTCTGATTTATATTTACAACGTAAGCACATAACGCACTTTAAAACATACAGTAAAATGGAATTAGGGTGAATGATACTTAAACAAATTAAACAAATAAAAAAATAATCCGTGACTGAAATAGGATTTCTAAGCGAATAAAGGCAGGTAACTTACTCCTTTCAAAAAATTGATCATGAATTCAGGAATAAGTGTTGAGTTTCAATGTACCGCTGCACTATCCTTATATTCTTTGATTTCGCAAATATATGGGTCTGAAAATTTCTAAAAAATAAATTCGTTGTTTACCAAAGCAGGAATAGAAAGGAATAAATACTTACATGCGAGATAACAGGCAAATTTAACGCCGCCGCCATTCTTGCTTGCGTGTGACAATCGCAACCGAATCCAATGAAAGCGTCCACTTTCCTCTCGAATTGACTGATAAGTGCATTTATTGACTTCTCTTCCGAGCATTCTGAGTCATCCCATACGAATCTGAGGCGAATTCCAGGCAAAAGGTTGGAATCTTTATTGATGTTGTCTACAGCGATAGTGATGGCAGAAGCGTAGAATTTCCCGTCGAGGGCGCGACTGCTACCAGGTGATGCAGAGTAAGGAAGAATCAGGCCGATCGTTAAATTTCCTTCTGTAGATGGACCAGGACAGGAAGACCCAATTAGAAATTTTGAAACGAAAGAAAGCAGCAAATGTGCTTTGAAATTCAATAAACTGTTCATATTCGAAGAGGGATTTTGCCAAAACCACTTCAATTAGGTGAACAATGAAGTTATAGAGTGAGTGTAAGGTCATTACCAGCCACACAAAATTCAATTCCTATTGCACGGAATTTGATTATGACATCTCTTGCTTCGGTTTGAAAGGATTCTGCCCTCTGTGTTATAGGTAATATTTTTACTTCAAAACCATTTGAAAGAAAAACACCTGTAATATTCACTTATCGTGACCGGGGGGTCTGGGGGGGCGGCTTAGTAAAAGCGAAATTCGTGCTGATATACAATTATCACCAGGCCGGAAAATTATGACTTTGAATAAAGGAGCTATCCTCTGAAAACATCGGGTAATTTTTTTCTTCACAGCGGTAATGATTACCATTACGTGAACAAAATTGATCATTACCAGTAGAAGTAACGAATAAGAATTTGGGGCATATTAAATACTTTTCATGCTAGTTGTGGAAAAAACCTAAAATTATTCCATAAATGGCAAGGCTTTCTTTATCTTCAGCTGAATGTCTCCCTCGGGAGATAATTTCTTGAGAGGGCAAAACACTTCATTGTCATTGAAACTGAGAGATGCCATGTTGATTAAGTAATATAATATAGAATCTCTTGTGAAGTTTCAAGTTTTGTAAATTGAATTTTTCCGAAACAATATGCAATCAACAGAATTGTCGTTACGCGCGATTATAATCTAAAACGGTATTTTATCCGCGACGAAATTTAATCAGTGATTCTGTAGACCCTCTGCATGATTTCCAAATTTTTTTTAAAATTGCAAACGATAGATACCATAATGATATGCAATATTATTTTTAGAATTCATCATTTCAAAATTAAGCTGCAAACAATACTGAACTAGACATGAACTACGTATCGACTTCAAAAACCAAAAACATAAAATAACGAAATGTACTGATGAATTAAATCTCATTTACATTGGGCACCAAAACAGATCTCGACGGAGCATAAATAATCTGACTGTAAAAAAAAATAACCGAAAACGAATAAAACACTATTAAGGCCTGAAAATGAAATTAAGCAAATTAAGATTTTCATAAAGCAAGCAAATAAAAACACGTTTTAATGTTAAAATTTATAAGCACCTATGTTGCTTAAACAATCCAAAAAAAAACCTGTAAATGATGTAGAAAGGAATTTATTTAACCAACTATCAAGACAGAAACTTTTGTTAAAGCCTATATTTACAATTTGAATTATCTGGGCCCAGCCTTTCAAAGGATGGATAACGCTATCCAACGGGTAAACCGCTACTCTGACGATAAAAAGTGACAAAACGTAATGCGCTATTCACTGGCAGGAGATTTATCCAGTGGATAGCGTTATCCACCTTCGAACAACCGTGGAGTTGACTGAGCAGGTTGTCAAGCCCATGGGGCCGATTGATTCCCGAAACATTTGGGGATAAAAGCCGTCTAAGTGGGACGTCGGCCCAAGGCGCTAAAAACATCGGCGATGCAGAGGTTTCGACGGATTTTTAGATGAATGGATGGTTAGATAAGGGGAGGAAAGGATGGAAGAAATTGTAGATATTAGCGAGCAGAACATTGCGAAAAGCAACAAACACATAGAGAAGGACGACTCACAAACAGAAAACACACTGACAGCCTGTCACTCAGATGACTCGCAGGAAGGGGGCACTAATGTATGGCTGAACACTTCTTAATCACATTAAAAAAAAAATCAACTTTTAGAGTACAAAGTTTGAAAGTGTTATGCTGAAATTAATCAAACCAGAACTGTTTCAATAGGTCATTTCCGAGATCTAAACAACCTCATCTTTAAGTTGAGGCAGACTGTTCAACCTCAAACTGAAGAACATCGCTCTTATCCACGTTTTAAGAGAGAGTTTTTGGTTGTTTTGGAAACGGCTTATGAACAACTGTAAGCCTTACCGTTATAGCACCTGGCGTCACATGACCTGCACTGCAGTACATCAGAGGAAGGGGCGGAACTATTATTTGGCCAAATAATCGAGTCATTGCTCAAGAGAAGCTTGTACTTTCCTGTCTTGTCAACAACAAACTCTCCAACCTGCTGGAACATTCCTGAACAGTAAAAAAACGCTTAGATAAGTATTCAATAAATATTTTGATATTCTTTTCTTCTTTAATGCTGTATTGAACGGGGGCTGTTCTGTTGGAAAAATACAAGCAAAAGGAAGGGATGTTGTGGTTGATCATTTTAGTTTCAGTGAGGTCGATACAACCTATTTCTGACCCTTACT